ATAAGAAAATAAAAAAAGAAACAGCCGCAAAAAAATAATAATAAATAAATAAATAAATAAATAAATAAATAAATAAGAATAACAACAACAACAACAACAACAACAAAAATAATAATAATAATAATAATAATAATAATAATAATAATAATGTACACTGATTTGAGTATATAGGTAAATTAATATCAAAATAAAATGTTCAAAATGACTACATACCTAATTAACCAATATCATATTTATCATTTTATGTGTAGATAATACATGTAGCCCACTCATTTGCTTGAAATCACATTTGTCCTGCTTGTACATATGCATCTCCAACACGTTTGCGTTATTCAGATATGTATGCATATGTATATTTGAATAACAAGCGTCCTGTTTACCTGTACAGGTGTGTCCGTCTCCCACATACCCTGCGTTGCATTTGCACGTGTAGCTGCCGGGTGTGTTTTGGCATACGGCGTTGACGTCACACTTGTTCATGTCCTGACACTCATCTATATCTGTAAGGAATAACTTTATATTTACAGTGTGTACACATATGCAAACATGCAGTATGAAGACCACGGGGAAGATAAATTTTATAAATAAAGTTTGGTAGATAAATATACAACTACACGTATGTCAGTTGCACCCCAACCCTCTCTACCCTCTACCAGGGCGACTGATAGATTTTTACGGATATTCACAGATATATCTCTAGCTAGATAGATTGTCATTTTAACTCTAAGTAGCTAGATAGATTGTCATTTTAACTCTAAGTAAAAATCTATCAGTCGCCCTGGTAGAGGGTAAACCCTCTCCATGTTGAAGACTCTTGTCGTGTTGTTATAGGAACTCTATGAGCGTTGATTGCATCAAAAATTTAATTTTCCTTGATATCCTGACACTTTTCTCTCTATCGTCGAGGTATATCATTATTATCAAGAACTGTTTACAAAATTACAATCTATGACCTGGCTTTTCAGTTCTAATATCTATTAATAGGTCAGTCTATAGGCGGCGTGACACCGACACTCACAGTATCTTCTGTGATCTCAGAGGCAAGTCTACACGTACCATGACAAGACTTCCCGTCTGCCCCCAGTCTATAGCCGGCCTGACACCGACACTCGTGGCCGCCCCAGAAGTTTCTGCACATCTGCTGGCAGCCGCCGTTGTTACTGAGACATTCATTGACATCTGGAAGAAAGATCGTTGCACGAATGCACAGCATGTTATCTAATTTTTTTCTAAACAAGTGACTTGATTCGAACATCATCGACTATTCATCTTATTTATTTTTTATTGTATTTTTAAATATTAAATAAATATTAAATATATTAAAATTTTATTTATCGATTAGCTATACGTCCGTCTATATTATAGCTAGTAACAAAGGGGGAAAGTACCGCGTTTGTGTTTTAAAGAATTTGGAATGAATCAAACAAAAAGTGAGGTACAGACGGTGTCCAGCAACCTAGGGCTTAGGATGACGCAAAACCAAAATGATACACTGCTATAGTATTTTACATACACACAAAGAAAGAGACACATGTACACGGAAGAGACAATACGATATTTTACTGGCACAAGTGTTATGATATTCTTAGGCTCTATTCCCATAGATTTTAGATCGATCTATCCCCGCGGGGAGACTCACTAGATTACTTTCAGATAATCCGACTTAAATGTTTGTCCCGCCTACTACAAGCTGTAAGGGGATAATTAACTTTCGTGTCCGCCCGGCTGACAGCTATTTAGCGTGAACCCCCAGGGAGTTAGGTCGATCTAAAGTAGGTCGATCTAATCTATGGAAAGGGGTGTTAGTGTCGTCATTTGTCTTTTCAATGGCGATCTCACAAATATCTGTAAGACGATAACCTGTCTAGTCCACACTGATGACTGCCGTTGTAGAATGATATTTCAACGCGAGCAGCTGACAGTGCAAAAATTACAATTGTAAATATACTAAATATATACTATCAAATAAACATGATAATCTCCGCAAGGGCTCCGAAGCCTATGGGACGAAGAAAACTCATGAGAAAGAAAGCTCCAGTAAAGACGTCATTCATACCACTTTTTTCTATATCTCTTTCTTTTCTTTTTTTATTATTATTCTTTTTTTTTTTTTTTTGTTAAAACGCAGTGTGCAATTCTAGATCGCCAAGAGATCTGACGGCTCCCCCCCCCCCACCCCCGCACGCCTTACCTAGATTACACCTGCCGCCGGTATACCCTGGGCGACAGCGGCAAGTACACGACGATCCAGAAGCTGTCGGCGTTCCTCCGTTGGAACATATCGTCAACGCACACGGGTCGATAGGCGCTGGAAGAGAGAAATTCGCTGTGATTTACTGCACTCATGTTGAATAAGTAGGACCGTGCACAGAAATAGATGATCCAGGGGAGGGCACTGTGGACTATACACCCCCTATTTTACATTTTGGCCTTGCCCCCCCCCCCCAGGATAACCTAGTGTACACCAGTGCACAGTAAATTACTAATATGATAGTCATATTTCCAGCATCGTTTGGTGAGAGTCGTATGAACAACAACAACAACAACAACAACAACAACAACAACAACAAAAAAAAAAAAAACGTTCTCTACGTAAACTGATATAATAGCTGTTAGCTTTTAGAAAAAAAAATACAATGCAATATTCAAATAAACCTGTATCCTCTATTATCAAGCGAAACCTAGTTCTTATTATTTCTTGAAGAAAAAGCTAAAGCGCATATCTTCGACAGTGACGTACATTCCTATTCTACACAGAGTGAAGCCTTTACGCTGCGATCAGAATTATCAAAACGTAATTTACTATTGGTAATTTACTTGCAATGAAACATAAATAAAGACACTTTATAATCGACAATTAAAATACATTTAATTAAGAAAAACTGTGAACCTTTCTATAAAACTTTCTTCGTGATTGATGGGTTCAATTCAAGAAAGTTGCTACAGTACTTTCTTTTATACTCTTGTCAAGTTAACCTCGTCCATAATTTGTAATTCTAATAAGTTTTCAATTGATTTTGTTCTTGCGTAACTACATGAATGGCATTTCAAATTGCAATGCAACACTGATGAATAGACCTTATTTGCATTTGGCTTTTATTAAAATCACAAGAATTATCTCAGCAAGTGCATCAGCTGTCACCGGTAAGATATAACATACGTAGAGTAAAAGATACCAAGAAACAAACACACTATTATTTTCTTGCTATAGTAGTTTTTACTTGAGGCGCGACAGATTTCGCTTTTGATAATGATAATTTGATAATCAATTTGAAATAAATCAAAGCAGAAAAAATCTGATGAAATTCATATTGACGCCTTTAAAAATTCCTAGAAATTGATTAAAAAGAAAAAAAAAGAAAAGCTTGGTTCTTTTCTACCGCTCTTTACCTGCCTCTCGGTGAGGTCACATTACATAACAATTTGCCTGGAAAATCTTTACATTCAGAAAGGTATACATTGAAGACGACAGATATTACACATTAATGTGTATTTTAAAGTTTTGCACCGCTGGTACTCTTTACATTATTTGTCGCCTACGTATTTTGAAATATTATCACAAAAATAAACATCTCTTCTTTCGTTCCCGAGTTGTGTCGCAGAATTAGACTACTCAGTCATACAGACCTGTACCTCATTGACATTCTAATAATAAGTGACACTCGCTCTTAATATTATTTACGCCCATGGCTTTGTATGGGACCTGCATTCCAAGCCATCAACTCCTGTTATTTGAATTCAAAATACTATTCACTTATCTATAGACTATAGAAAGTGCTCGCGAGTCCATTTGAATGACGCGAGAAGTGATACATGCACCTGCAGTAGCTGAAGTCATGGTGGTTTCCATATAAATAAAAGTCTGATGCTAATAAAGTATGGTTCTTAAAAAGCTACGTCTTAGTGCGTTTTAAATAAATCATTTAATATTTCGGACACTTTTTAGAACATGATTCAGACTGGTTATAGGCGTTCTCTCCTCCCTGAGGAGGTTACAGAATATACATGCTTTCCCCAAAATCGGCCTTACTAAAACACTATCCTTAACTTTTGGCCAAATGCAGCATGATGTGCGGAACTGGAACCACTAACAGATACCAGAATGTATATGTATGTGTACTCGTATGTATATGTATATACAAACCGCATGTCCAATAACTGAATTTCATACAAAGAGTAAAATATGACAGTAAGATGACTCTCAGATTGAAAAATAACGGAGACTGATAACTTATTTGCAGACAAAGAAGTGGAAGCGGTTTTCGACAACCCAATTTCGAATTTGTGACATATATACTTCTCATTAATCTGGAAGAACCATGGAAAAATAAAAAGGACTTACTCTCAGAGGTCGTAGTTGTAGTAGTAGTAGTAGTTGTTGTTTCCGGTTCTTGTCTATTTGGTTTCGTGAATCCACACTGGAATGTGACGTCATCGTTACAGTACGTGCCGCTAGCGCAGTTGTACACGTATGGCATTTCCAACCCCGGAACACATAAGAAATATCTGCAATGATCCATTCAGGTTTATCACATGAAGTGTAAACTAAGACCCCATTCCTATAGATTTTAGATCGATCTATCCCTGTGGGGAGTCTCACTAAATTACTGTCAGCTTAGCCGGCTTAAGCGTCTGTCCCGCCTACTAATAGCTGAAGGGGCTAATTAACTGTGGTGCGCGCTCGGGTGACTGCAATTTAGCGTGAACCCCCAGGAAGTTAGGTCGATATAAATCTAAATCTCTGGATCGATCTAAATATCTAGGAATGCACCCTAAGCTTAGGGATGTTTATACCCGACATGAAATAAAATGTATTGTATTGTATTTTTATTGTTTTGTATCACCTAACATTATAACTATCACTTTACATTATAAGTCTTTTGTTTTCCATAAAAAAAAAGTTTTGGCATTTATTATAAATCAACAGGTGCGGATATTTTTCCGTTGAAAAACAAGATTATTTCAGATATGTTATAAACATAATAGCAAAGGTGTTCTGAAATATTTTTTATAAATCACATGGTGCGTACATTCCTATACCACGCGCCCTCTAACGGTTCTAAAATGATGCCGTTCTTGGGTAAAATAATATGGTTCAAAACTTACCATCTCGGTAGACCTGTGTCCAATTGAAATGCAGAGACTGGTTGTTTATTACCGAGTGATTCTCGCACTTTTGATAATATTTATATTACTATATGATATGCTATAACAAGTATAACTTTCCCTCAGCCAAACACAGCTGTGATTATCTACATTTGGAGCAAATGCAGGGAATCACCGCCGACCACCAAATAAGTATCGCAAATAAATGTCACTGAAAATCTCTCTTGACAAGATCAATTAATGAATGTACTTTGATACATGAAATGTCAATCTGTTCCAGAAGTCAATTATTAAATTGCTGGAGATCAATTGACATTTGCCAATACGCCGTTAAAACCCTCTTTACACTGTACGGCGTCCTTTCTGCGTCCTTTGTCCGTAAAAAAAGAAGGCACATGCACCGCTTTGGTTGCAAATGAATGCTCAATGATCGGCCAGTTGTCGGCACGCAAAAGTATTATTGTTTTTGACTCTCAATCAGGGCCGTACAACGGGACGCAGAAAGGACACCGTCCAGTGTAAAGAGGGCTTAAAACACGCTAACTGTCCTTTATTACCTGCGATATTCCATATCATCCCTGTCACATGCAAAACCGCTCTTCAGTGACAGCTCTGAGCACAGTTTGCCCTTGGCACTGCTGAATAATCCCAGGCAGGCAATAAAAAACAACAAATTCCGAATCGACATCGCCATGATTCCAAGCGCGTTACAATATACGTACTCTTGGTATACTGTAAAACACCTGCTGCGAATGTTTCTATAGTACTACCAAGGCGATGAACTTCGTCGTTTTGGTGCGTTATTTTTATGACGGCAAATCTACCCTCTGGTCGGGTCTTCTACAACCCGTGTACTGAGATTCTCTCCTCGGGAGGCAGTCTTACTAAGTGAGTCGTCGCGCTGCACCCCGGCCCTTAATAAACTTTAATTTACAGTGTAATTAATCACTCATTTCGCTGTGGTGCGTCATGGCCTCATCTAGTTTTGTTTTGTGTGGGTTTTTCTTAAGTGCATTTTTGGCCGCGGAGTTTTGTCCGTTGGTAACGCCTGACAACCGAGTAAGTTGTGCTGTCTCTACAGGGTGATGCCTCAGGTGACATAGGTATGTGGTTTTCTACTGAAACAGTCCTTACCTATGGTAAATCATTTTCTATTGTGAGAGAGGCTAAGAATAGAGAAGTTTGTAATCGCCTCTGTTGAAATGGTCATTAATTCAGGGAAACAATTTATTCTTTTTCCACTGACTGAAAACAGATAATCTGGTTTTGATTAAGATGAGTTTCTTCATTTGTTAGTTTTTATCCATAATCTAGAGGATGCTTTCAGCTTTTCATTTTCTGATAAGAATGAATCAAGGCGATGCTTTCTCTATATTATGTTTTTTTTCCAAATTATCGTAAATATTTTTACTTGGGGAAAATAAAAGCACTGATAATTTCCCGGCTTCCATATTAGCGTCTAAAATCATTTCTGAGACAGACCGTAGGGCAAACACGTTACTGTAAGAAGAATAAATAGTAACGTCGAAACACTTAATGGTCATCAACGCTGATGTATGTATTTGATGTTAACTATCAAATGCTCCCAATACCGCCAATATTGAAGGTGATGAGAGTTGGAAAAATTTTTTCTCCGAGCATTGGCTAGTTCGGTGTAACAGGGGCTTGACGAAGGGCAGAGACACGAGAGGATGAGGTTGAGGTCAAGAACGGGAGTTATGACATATAAAAAAACTGTTTTGTATAAAACTTAGGTAATAGATGGTCAATATTTATAAAATAATAGTAATGATAGAAAGTTATGTATTTTATACGTTAATTTTCGTCGGAATATGCTGTATGAGCTTTTTCCAATCACATTTACCTAATTTACAATTTTTAGAGAAAAAAGTCAGTGTGGGAAACGCAATCACCTGTAATAAAATTATATAGGAATGGATCAGTAGAAAGTAAATAAGCACCTAATGATAATAAAAGAAACACCCGGCCTAAAGATGTCCTGCGTTTATGGCTTCATATTGGTTAGAGTGGCCGCGACGGTGTGGGGTTAATTAAAGATGGGCCGCGGTCATGAACGTGGTCAGTATCAAGTGTGTGTGATTTATGGCTCTTCAGTGGCCAAAGCTGAAGTGGACCACGCGCCCAATAACAAGCCTTGGGTGTACACACTCTTCCCTCCCCCCCCCCCCAAAACAAAATGATAAGCGAAACAAAACAATTTTTAATCCCCACACCCTACATATATAAGATAATTAAGTAAATAATAAATGTGACTAATAAGCAAAAAAAAAAAAAAAAAAAAAAAAAAAAAAAAAAAAAAAAAAAAAAAAAA